ATATGGCTTAGGTTAACGATCGAATTTGCATACAAGCATGTTCGATGATGTATAATCAACACTAGACCGACCTCGGGAACGCGCTAATTGCTAAATAACGTTCCGTGTAATTGATCTTCGTGTCACGATGTGCCTACGACAACGATTCCCCAGTTTTGGATGAGTCTGTATATCTTCCTACTTTCTCTCTATACTCATTGCATTTTCTTTTTTCTTATTTTTTTTTTCTTTTTCTTTCCTAAGTCGCCATTAAACGTGTTTATATAAACGTGCAATTAAAACTTAACATTTCCTTCCTACTTAATTACGCGAAAGATAGTCACTTTCAATTTAACAATCAATGCTCGTCGTTTAAAATTCGTATTATTATTCTATACCATATAAGTATTTGTACGTATATATATATGTATATACCATATATCCTAAGAGTTAATTTATTACGTTGATTTTATACTTAATTTTAATTTCCATCTTAAACAACGTTTTATCCTAATACGTTTGACATATTCTCTTCTTCTTTTTTCTTTTTGGTTTTTTTTTTTTTAATAATAAAACGTTATTAGGATTCTCCTTAATCATCGTTGGTATACTATCGATAATTTCCGTCATACCTACTTTCTCCTTCGGGCTCGTCCTTGATAAGCGGAAATGCGATTGCACGTGGCGGTTAATTATCAATTAACGGTCGTTTACTGCCTAAGGGTATAAACCTATCAGACGTTGTTCTACGTATAGAACGCTATGCGATACTTATCTCCGGGCGTTAACTCGTTCCTACGTTCGTAAGAATTTTAAACATAACAAAACAAATTCATTTTCGTAATATTCTATTTGTAAATGGTTATTCGCACATACGTGTGTTTCTAATGTAATATAAAATAATATCTAGTAACTTTAATCGCGCGATAAAACGAAAAAAAAAAAAAATAAATAAATGCAAAATCCGTGCGAATGAATTTATCCGGATATCGATGTTTATTCATTCACTCATTCATTCATTCGTTTATTCATTTATTTATTTCTTTATTTATTGCATACAATGATATACGTATCACGTTGCTCGTATGATACGAAAATATCGTATTACGCGAGAAATAAAAGTAGATAGAAAAAAAAAAAAGGGGAATAGAAATCGCGTAATAAAATTTCAAATAATAACAATAATAATATACACGGAATGATGGTAGAAGTGTACGAATTTTTATGAAATATTTCGAATTTGAATATTACCAATATGAGCGCCGGGTGTTTGTTAGTAGGAAATAAAACGTTTTCGTATTAAAAAATATAACGCGCACGGGGGGTTATATTCGAGTACGTGCATACATGACCCATATATTCGGCAATGTTTCTCGCGTTTTAAACAACTTTATTAAATTCGCGGAGTCGTGTCAAGGGCCTTCATAAAGATCATCTTCAAATTTACAAAACGTACTCGTACTCGTACCCGTATCCCGTATCCCGTACACTTCTCGTATACGAACGCGTGTCACGACCTTTCTCATTATTAAATCTTCATTAAGATTTTTTTGTTTTTCTCGCAAATGCACACTCTGTACATTCGTGTTGAGTAGAGGGGAAAAAAGAAAAAAAAGGATTTGCGGAATAATGGTAAAAACTCGACGAACCGATCCGTTCGACCCTGATTCGATGTTCAAGGTCGATGCTGTTGGCCGATTATCAAGGCGGCTTCGTACAAAGCCGGCAAAACTCTTTGCCCGGTTGGTTCTTCGGTTGGTTGGTTGGTTGGTTGGACCCGCCAACTCGTTCTCTCTTTGAGAATTTTCGTTGGTGAGAGAGAAGAGATCGTTCGCCCGAAGCACTGTCTACCGTTAACGTTCCTCCACGAGACGTCCTCCTCCTCCTCCTCTTCTTCCTCCACCTCCATCCATTCTTCCTTCTTCTCTTCCTCCTTTTCTTTCTCTTGCAAATAGGACGAAAACGAGCACCGTATCCTCGAGCTTCCTTAGTAATCCTTATCTTTCTCCTATTATTTTAACATGATCAATCTGAGAAACCTCTCAGAATACATTAATTTTAGTTATATACCAACATATAAATTTATCTTAACTCATCAGTCATTTACTGTAATAATTATTAGATAATATTAACCTCTTTAACGATATATATATTAAAACTTTTCCATCAATCTTATTTCCCCGTTCCCCAAAAGTATATTTTACTCGGTATATTTAACAATGTAATGGATATCCCATAAGAACGAAATATTGTAGAAAGAAAGACACCTTTTGACCTAGTTAAACGAACAGAATTTTTCTTTCCAACAAGCTTTTGTGATATTTATTGTCAAAGGGTTCTTTCAGAATAAAGAAAGAGAAAATTTTCGAATCTTTTCATTTTTATCACGGATAATTCACGAAGAAAACAATAAAAAGGGATGCGTTTGAGCGTTCACATTCAACTTTATTAAATTTCATTTCAACTGTGAAGGTTTCAATCGTCGGTAAAAGAAGTTAAGAGTGCGAGAGAGAGAGAGAGAAAACAATCATCTTTATGAATGGTTATAGAATCTGTTCGCACGCAAACATGGTGAAAGTATCATCGTCGTATGGGTCATCGGCATCGGCATCGGCGACATAGAAAAATTGAGTTTACAGATGACATTTGCATGATCATCAAAATTTTAACCATTTCGGGGACTTTTATTCAATACCTTTTCAGACTTTTTTTCTGTGATCATCATCATCATCATCATCATCATCATCATCGACGGTAGAGATGAAATAAGATAGGATACGATACGATACGGATACGATACGGATACGGATACGATAAAGACCCCCCGGGCTAGTATCTCGAAATTATCAAATTAATCCATGGGAAAGGAATTGTCGATTAAATTAACATATAAAATCAATGAACATATTACAAATATCACTTTCAGCTTGAATAAATAAATGTTTTTTTTTTCTCATCTTCTTCTTCTTCCTTTTTTTATTTCTTTTTTTTTTTTTACTGCGAGACACTCGATCGATCGTTTAATTATTTACGCGCTGGGAGAAAAAACTTTCATATATTTCTTTTTTATTTTATTTTTCTCTCTTCTTCTTTTTTCTTATTTCTTTCTTCTTTCTTCTTTTTTTATCTCAACTAAAGCTTCATATCGCTTACCTTCGGAGCCATCTAAGATACGGGGGACCCAAGAGCTTTTATCGTAAAGTGGAAATAGAAAACCTTAGAAAGGATGATTCGCGCCGAGAATTTCTCGCAAAGACTTTGAGATACGCCTTTCTCAGTTGTGTAACTTTATCTTCCGTGTTGTCCTTTTCTTCGTCTTTTTTTATTCCTTCTTTTTCTTTTTCTATTTCTTTTTCTTTTTCTTTCTACTTTGACAGAATTATCCTTTAATTAGATACCGGTTATTCGACGATCATAATTAACATCGATGATATAAATTCTCGATGTCGTTGTGAAAAAAAAAAGAAAAGTCGTAAAATAATAATAATTGTTCAAATTGTTGATTTGATTTGTTTCTTTTAATTGGAAGAGACTTTATAATGGTACTTTTCTTTTTTCTTTTCTTTTCTTTTTTTTTTTTTTTGAAACTAATAAAAATAAAAAATAGTAAAAGAAACACGTCATAGATTTCAATCGTGGGAACGTAATTTCACGTACGTTGATAGCGTAGGTTGTTCGGTTAGGTTGTTCGCTTAGGATAGGTCACGACCCCATCCTCCTTCACCCCTCCCACTTCCTCCACTCTTTTCGCACGTAAAATTATCCGCTTTGCGGATAAGCATCCAGGAATATTCGAGGTGTTGAAAGAAAATGCTTGGTTCTTTTTCTTGGTTTGTTGAACGAGACTAAGAACGGGGGGTTAGAAAGGGGAAATGGTTTGGTAGCAGTTAACGTTGCTCTTTATGACTCATTTTACGAGATACCCTACAATACGCTTCCCTTTTGGAAGCTCGTAAAAGGAGAAGACAACGGCATAATCCGCCACCGTATATTACGTTTTGTATATTCGTATATCGTGCAAAACCACCGTGTCTGTCTGTCTGATTGTGAATTTCTTCGTTTATATTTGGTAAAAGGAAATCGTTTTGTTAAAGCGAACCTATACTATGTGAAACTCAGGTCTCCACGAATTATCTATTTATTTATAACGTAATAACTGAAAATTATCATTCGTTGGAAACAAAAATTTAATTAAAACTTTGATAATCGTTAAGATTGTTGATAAGACGATAATGTGACTAATAAAAATGACGATAAGTTGAAAAAATAATAATTTAATGAATAAATTAAAGATATATATGTATATATTATAATTTATAGCTTTGATAATTTATTTTTCTTCTTCTTTTTCTTCTACTTTTCGAACGACTTGGTAAATTAATTATTTCGTATCGATTTCTCGACCTCTTGGTATCAATTTTTTTTTTTTTTTTAACACTCGATATAGTCAGCCGAAGTACCCTTCGTTTAAACGCAAAGAAAAATGAAAAAAAAAAGAAATAAATTTAAAAGGAAGGAAAAAAAAAGAAGTAAAAGAAAAAGGAAAGGTGTATTCGATTTGTATCCCCTGGCAAACGTTTGTAATGATTCGTTCATCGGATACCCCCCATTCGTTTTCGCACGTTCAAGATCGAGTTCCTAACGTTGTTCCTTGATGGATCGATCATCGTCACCTCGTTGGTTCAAGTCGATAAAAAAGGAAGAAAAAAGAAAAGAAAGAAAAAGAAAAGATGAACTTCGTTACAAGAGAGAGAAAAGAAAAGAAACCTCGGTCGGTTCTTTCACTTCGTTCATTCTTATTTATTTTTCTTTTCTAAATGAGGGGAGAGAAAAAAGTAAAAAAAAATATAAAAAAATTAATAGGTAATAAAGAATATAAAGTTGAATCCGTCGAACAATAATAGTTTCGTCAATTGTTAAACTCGCGATGAGATTTATTTAATTAAAAAAAAATAGAAAAGAAAATATTATTGTAGTCCTTATTTTAATCCTTCTTTATGTATTCTTGTATCTGTTTTCAGACGATGTTAAAAGGATCTACGGACGTATCCAGGTGGTTGCTTTTAACCGGACTTCTTTCTTGCGTCACCTGTCAGAGCTTACCGTCGTCGTCCTTTGAAAATAAAACCGGTGAGTGTGGGCATGAAAAGGAGGGTAATCTTCGAACGAGCTTTTCCATTTTTTCCCACGATTGACATATAATAAGTATGGAAGAAATAATTAAACGAAATAATATAATATTGTAATTATAAAATTTTAATGTCTATCTATATAGAATTGGGAAAATTTTGTGCTATAATATGATTTCGAGATTATGATCGATTCAATTTAAAAATGATCGAAGCATTAATGTCGCATTAATATTTTCTTCTTTCTTTTTTTTTTATTTCTTTCTTTATCTCTTACTTTTTCATTCATTTAATAGAGAAAACCGGTAACGCTCGGTAATTCCATCGAGATGCCGCGAACGTTTTCACTTCCTCAAGATTTATTTAGCCGGTGCAATAGCAAAGGACTAAAAGAACTAAGGACTAAAGAACGATTTATCACTGGCGTTTCGTTGTTCGCCAGCAGGAAAGGAGAGCTAAGACCGTCTTGGGATTTGCCAGCTCTTATCTATACTCTTGCATCTCAATTCGTTGTTCTCTCTTTATCTTTCACCCTCTTCATTTCTTTCTCTTTAGGTCAAGGCATTCGTGCAAAAGGGTCATCCATGTAACAATACTATACATCTAACCACGAAATAGTATCTCGAAATTTTCAATGTTTTTACCGAAAACGTTTTAATTTGAGCTAGAGAAACAAAAAAATAGCATTCGGTTTATTTGAAATTCGAAAGAATTTATAGTTTGCGAGCGTACGTTAGAGAAAAATAACCAAACCAATTTGCACGAGTAATCTTGATAAAAATGCAGTAGTGTGAGAGAAAAATAAATAGAAAAAGAGAGAGAAGAAATGGAGCAGCAATATTACCGTGGGTGTAGCGCGTTTCCGTTTCCGACTATAGGACGACAATTTGGAAAATGACGTTCGTGAAGAAGAAGAAGAAGAAGAAGAAGAAGAAGAAGAAGGTTGTGCGTCGAGGGATGATTGTCTATGAAAAAGGGTTGATAACAATTTTCGTGACTGAAAGGAATGAAGGAAAAAGTAAAAAAAGAATAGGAAAGCAAAAGAAAAAATGAACACGAAAATAAAAAAAGATAATAAAAAAAAAGGGCAAGGTCGATAACACCGGCGACCTCGATTGCGTTCGATTGCCGTGGCGATTTCGCGAATTCTTCGAGCGTAAAGTAGATTTCAAAATGCCAATCTCAGGATCGACTCGCGAAACTGTAAAAAAGTTAATCGAAAACTGTGCCTCTGCGTTTTCTACGTACACTACTATATATGTACGTGTATATATATATATATATATCAGAGATTGCAATGCTATAAATTGTACAACTTTGCTATTTCTTTGAAAAGTTTTGGTAAATATTTTTTATATACTAAAAGTGAATAAATTTTAATGAAACTTATATTAAATTAAAGTACACTCTTTTTTCTACGCGTAGAATACCATATCGAGTTATAAATTTAGCATGTAAAGTTCAGAAAATGTCAGAGAATGCAATGTGTGTCTGTGTATTCTTTTTAACGTTGTTTAAATAGTAATTGTATATTCTATAGAATATCAAAGTATTATGTTCAATGCTTAGGAAAAACTGTAAGAATTCTTTTGTTTCTGACTTCATCGGAATGCTCTTTGTATTGATGAGAATGCCGAGGAATTACTAGCAATGGCGGATTTCCGACTATGACGGTAACATATATATAGAAATATATAGGAGGAAGAATCATGGGGGTCGCAATTTTATTCTACCTTCTCGGGACTCGTTTGTCACTCCTCTTTGGTAAAAGAGAGGGTGGGTGAGATTGAAAAATGGCTTATTAAGGAAGAGGAGGATACGAACGTGTGCTGCCTTGATTAAAATACGGATCGATCCGTCTTAATCTCGTAAGACAGGATTTCACAATATAAAAGCGCCGAATAAATGAGAAGTTTGGAAAATTTCAAACATCTTTAGATGATTAAATTTGACGCTTGAGAGAAAGTATAATATTTAGTATTGTTTTTATTTTTAAGTAATAATCCAAAGAGACGATAATAGTCAATATTTAACAATCGATAAAAATGATCGAACGATCGTGTCAGATTTTTAATCGTTTTGCTTTTTTTTTTGTTTTTTTTTCCTATTCATTTTAATAACAATATAATTATGCTAGAAGTACGAAAGCGTAAGTTATGTGTTATACTTATGTATGATAAAATTATTACTATGTAAGTGATGCATTATTCAAAAGTATTAAGTTGCAATAACCGTATTTTATTGTATGTGTATATATAAAGCTACGTGATAAGATTTATCCTCGTTTAAAACTTACCACTTTAAAAACTTCGGTAAAGAACAAAGCTCGATACGTTGAACTTTTGCAGAGTTACTCAGAGATTACTCTTTTCCTTTTTCCGATATTCTCGTAGGAAACAATTTTAGTTATTTGCTTTTAATCGTATCAATAACATCTCACTATAAGATCCGAACACTCTGGGGAGTAGTGGGGAGGGGTAAAAAATTAATTTGAAAATAATTTAATACGATTTTTTATTTTTTTATTTTTTGTTTCTCTCTGGAAATTTTAATAATCTTTCGATCCTATCGATCGTGAGACAAGTGTCACATTTGTGTTAAAGTGTGTGTATGCGTATATACGATGGGTCAGTGGGTCAAACTACTCGATGCTAAAGGAACTCTTGTCGATTACGCGCAACACACATTTGAAAACTCGATGGTGTTACACGTTTTATCTCGCTTACGTTTTCGATATAGAAATATACGATATATAAATAAATATATACATTTATATAGGTGTATATGTTTTTATAAAAAATCATACGCGACTATTAAAAGTAAGTAAAATCGTCGCGAACGAGATTTTAATGCCTTCGGCAGGAAGAACGTGTTTTATGAAATATGAACGGTTTATACGCGTTGAAAAAAAAAAACAAAGGGCTTTTAGGTTATGTTTGAAGGGAACACGTTAAAAGCGTGACATACAATATGTAGTTTGACCGATGGGAATTACGAACTAAATGAAAAGCGTGACCCAAAGTAACGTTTCGTGCTATGACTCTATCTTCATATTATTTTCCATAGTTATAATTGAATGAAACAACTCTGTCTAAAATTACTTTTACACAAAACGAATTATTTGAAATTTTCTATTTTTGTTAATAGAATTATATTCTATTCTTAAAATCACATTGATTTTATATTAATTCAAGAATTTGTGCATAGAATCGTAACAATCCTTATTAGAAGATTCGTTCTGGTCATTCTAATCGCGTTTAAATATGACGTAGTAGTTTCGAACGAATGAACGGTGTTGCATTCTATCAGGAAATTAGAGATTGGTTGACAAGTTAAAATGGCGGCGAAACAAAAGAAACGGGTATGCTAGCACACTTCAAAGTATCTATTGACATACTCTTCTTTACGTAGTCTCAACCCTGGCAACGCGTTGTTCTACTTTCTAGTGACAACGGTTTGGTAGAAAAAACGTAAAAGAAAATAAGGTGGTGGTGCCTTTAACGCGACTAAACTCGCACCGTTGAACTTTGCTTTTAATATCTCGTGCTAGTGCTCGTTCGGTGCATGCACTGCACTAGGTAAAAATGGTAGCCAAGCAAGCTTCTTTAGACAAATTCACGCCACCTTTTCTCTCCTTTTTCTCTCCTAGCTTTGAAAATACTTTAGAAGGCTAACATAGTCGTACGGTTAACGTGACAGCATAAAGCTTAAGAACGACGTAGAAAAACTAGCTCCTTTTGTGCATTGTCATTTGAAGAGATAAACATTGCTAAAAAAGTTAGACACTTTGTCATCATTTTTTCTTTTTCCATTGTATATTAGTTCGTCCCGAAAGATTTTTTTTAGGCTCTTTTCAGTTTTTTCTTATTAAACACTTTTGCATGTAAAAATAAAATAAAAAAATAAATATATTTATATATTAAAAAAATATATATTTATTATATCATCGTAATATTAATAAGAAAAAAGATATACATTAATATATATCATTGAAAATGAAATTAATATTTATTTTGATAATATTAGAATATACTTAAAATATTCATTTATAAATGGGATTAAAACAAGTCGTAAGTTTATTATATTAATTCGTTATAGAGTTGATTACCAAAGTTGATAGAAACCAGTTGACTGGATAGTTTATGAGACATGACCACGAACGAACACGTGGACGATGAAGATAGAATATGAAGAAGAGCATGGTAACACCGACAGAACCGACGAGACTAACTCTGAGCTCTTAACCCTAATGAATCTTTACTCAGTTGTCGACGGACGTCGGAGTTTCCTTGAAAATAGTTCACCGTATGTGTACGCTAACACACACACACAAGTATAGCTGGGGTATATATTGTGGGACACGAATCTAACTTGCTTTCATCTTAAAGAACTAACCGTAAAATAATACGAATACAATGAGAACGAAGAGAGAGAGAGAGAGAAAAAAATCAAGTATTAAGTTTCATCGTTAATTAATTAACGCTTTCGCTTAACCAACGATCAATGGATAATAAATAATAAATACGGGAAAGGTTGGGAAAATGATTTTCACGAGCTACTTCGTATAATTACGATTTCACAGGTTATATAGTTGGGTTATATTATAACATGGTTCTTTTTTCCCTTTTTCTTTTTTTCTTTTTTAGGTCACGATACTTATACTTAGATTTGTATTTTTTTTTTAGATTTAAATGAAACGCGAGGAAGAATGAGAAGAAAAAAATAATATCAACGATTAAGTTTAATCATTAATTCATTTTCGTACCTCTCGCGTAGTTTCACTTTAGTGAATATATATATTTAACAAGTAAAGTATCTCTTATCTTACTATTTGAGCACACATGGTTAATTAAATTGGTATCAGTTAGATTGTTTGTTTTACTATGGCAATTTATCTTATTCCTACGAGAAGAAAACTTCAGTAAATACGTCAATTAATTTTATTGTACAAGCACGCTACTTGAATGAACGTTTTATAGATAGTTAAATAAACCTTTTTGTTCTTTCTCTCTCTCTCTCTCTCTCTCACATAGAAAATTGTTTTCGAATATAATCCGTAAATTCTTGACAAGAAATAAAAAAAAAACGAAGTAAAGGATAGTAGAGCAAACTGGAGAGTTGAGTTGGTCTAGGAAACGGAAATGTTGTACATAAGAGAGTAGTGCATGGATTGAAGATACTGGGTGAGGGTGAGGGGGTGGTGGAATAGCCGTGTTCGGTCGGTCGCGCGCGCGCGTGCGTTCATGTGCAACTACGTTTGTATTGCACGACACGTGTATTTATGCGAGATGACTCGAGTGCTGGCGCCTGCGGCTCGTTCTGTCCTCCTGGGATATTCAAGTACGCTTACCTCTTTGTGTGAGCACACGTGTGTATACACCTTGGACGTTACCTATATATATATATATATATATATACACCGATACGGGGGAAAACATTCATCCATCCGTTGTAATCAGAGAAGAAAAAACGAAAGAAAGGGTAAAACATGGCAAGGCAAAAAGTATAATCTTTGCTAGGCGAGTAGAGAGTCTAGATAACAGAGAAAGGAAGAAAGAAAGAAGGAGTGTGATTGTGTTTGTGTGTGTATGAGAAAGAGATAGAGAGGAGTGGGGGAGGAGAGGGAAAGACAAAAAAAATCTAGAATTCGAAATTAAAAAGCTTGCTAGATAGAAGGGTCGGACTGTTTACCTACTGTCTTCAAAATACCTACATTCATACGTTCATACATATAAAGATATACGTACTAACATCGATATATATATATATGCTAAGGAAGGACAATACCCAGCTGAATAATACTTTTCTAGCACTTCCTATTTCGAAGCCTCATTTTCCTATGACTTTATTGATTCCCACTACTTCAAATGGGACTTTCCGCATTAATTAAAATGAATGTTTATTTTTATCTATGTTTCTGTGTAAAGAATGTAACGTATTGTCAAAGTTACTCTATAATTTTATATTGATTTATCGATACTGAATATTATTATGTTTTTTAATCAAAGTATTTAATTACAGGTAACATATCGAGGATAGATTACTTGCATATTTATGATGTTATTATTTTCCTTTGTCATATGCTTTCACATTCATATATCTATGTTCGGTGTAACGTTTCTAATGCATATTCACATATATATATGTATAGACATATATACGTTCATATTTTATACATAACGAGTTTAAACGAAGCAACCCGACATATGGAAGTTAGTATGGAAAATTATAGTAGCACGTGAAATGATAAATTTACTGCAGATACTAACGATGTATTTCCTCGTAACTAACTCGATGTACATATGATAACATCGAGGGTTATTAAAAATAAATTACGAAGGATTGAGATCGAATCTTTAAAAAATCATGACATTTTTTTATTTTTTTTTTATTTTTTTTATTTTTTTTCAATAATACACAATTACTATTATCGTTATTTAATGTATTTCAATTTGAAAACACAACAGATTTTAAACGAGATAAAAGGATCAACGTAAGTATTAGTATGAAATGTTGTTGATGATCAGGCAAATGGATAATATAACAAGCATTGTCGAGTAACCAAAACCGCATTTGTGTGCCCATGCACGAGCGACAACAGTTTGCATCTGACATATGTATAACAGTGAACGGTCAGAATAGAAACATCGATTGGCTCGATAATGTCAGAGAAAATGCGTGACCCCATAGTTGAATGTTCTCTCTTAATGGACCCCCCATATATGCGTTTATTGCTTGTCTCTTTTGAATATAATGTCATTTCGCGAGAAAATCGACCTATGAATTTTCAACAAGCTTACATTAAGTTTGATGGTATACGTAATGAGCGTGACTAATGTACACGTAGTGAACTTTCCCTCAATTGAGATAGCTTGCTTATGAATGAACATTTCTCGAATATAAGATATTTACAAAACGTATAATAATAATCAAATGCAAATTGGAAAATACGATTGTAGAATATTCAATTAAATCCTTGTAAAATATTATAATATATTCCTCCAAAAAATTTAATAAGATTCAAAATAATCGGAAAAAAATAGAAATTTTCTAAACGGGAATAAGAAAAAAATCAAATTGATTTGTATTTTCGTAGAGTTAGCTTGAATCATTTGAAAGATTTCATTGAAAGGTTCAACAAGTTGGCTGTCCCGCGTACGGAGAACTTGTTATAAGAGGAATATGAGTAACGATGAGCGTGTGAAAGGGGTGGTTGGTAGTAGATAGGGCCGGTGGTTGCCGATGACAGGCAATGCTTGTTCGTAAATCACACGGAGAGCAAGATGATTACCACGACCGAAGTTGTAGAAGATGAGAGAAAGAAAGAAAGAGAAAGAGAGTGAGTAAGTGAGTGACTGAGTGAGTGAGTGAGCACGCGAAACTTGGAGAATAGCAATCACGTTTTAAAGTAACTGATCGTTAAAGACGCCATGTTGTCTGATGCGTCTCAATTAAATGTAATTTCCGTCGACGGTGTATTACGTTTATTCGTCCATTTCTTCGAGGTCCTATTCGTTCGCGTGAAAAGGCGGTTGTTTGTTTTGTTCTTACGGTGAAAGGGTGCCATCGGCTTCTCTCATCTCGCATAGCCAGTCTTCTCTTTCTTTTATCGTCGATGCATCAACGCTGTATACTCCGAGTACCTACCTACCTGTCATGTTCTCCACGCTTCCTCACCTCGAACGAAACACTCTGTACGATGTTACGTGTATGCCCATATTACTGTCTTTTATGGTGAATTGCAACTTTGTAACAGGGTCCCTTCTTTGACTGCTCGAGACTGATAGCTTGCACTTGTGACACTTGTTAACGATTACCCCTTAGGCCACGCATTTGTATATAGATAAACACACATGCATACATATATACACACAGACGAATATTCGACATGGACTATGACGTTGTTTCTATGTATAAACGTTGAAATTTATACGATAGTTTATCATCGATTTTCATCATACTATTCGACGAATTATGAAGTAAGATAAAAGCTCATAAATTTATACGAGTTGTGAGAAATCGTTATGCCGATAAAGTAATCGTTGTAAATCAAACTTTCCGATATAATTACGATATTTTCTAAATAAAAATATGCAGGATAAAAGCGAGATAGTTACCGTTCGAGTATTGTACCGTTTCAGGCTAACGATAATAAATTGGTAAATCCCTTTGTTCGCAGATACCAATGACAGCAAACCACGAGTTTTCTCCCCAAGGATGGACTACGACGAATGGACGCCTCTTGGACGAGGGGATCCACTAAAAAACAATCCTACTTTCGATTACGTTCCACCAGTGTTGGATCGTGTTCAATATTGGTTGGATTCTCACACAACCGAAGCATCAGCTAAACGTGATATTTTGGTGCTCGGAGTAACGGCGAAGAAAACGAGTCCCAAAATACCCGAACAATTCTTGAAATTTGTCGATGGCCCAAAGTTTACCAGAACGAATCAGGACAACACTTACAGGAATGATTTCACCGGTAGTAGTGGTGCCGAACCACCTAAAGTTTTACGTACTACTAACTTTAGAAATGGTCTTGTCGACTATAGAAATCAGAATAGGATTCAAGCAGCTAGTTATTATCCTAGTCCATATTATAATCAAAAGACTAAACCTTATACAATGATGTTACCACCGCCAGTGGTTCAGAAACAAATCGAACCCTCGACAGCTTTCAATGGTATATTGTCGAAAGAAAAAATCACCGGTTACGTCGAACCATCTCAACAATTAAGCACTCAAACCGAAGAGGGTCCGGTACTTCAAGATCCACAATATTATGGAATACCATCTAAGAATTATAACCAACATCATTCTCCTTCGTTGCAACCATCGAGACCACAATATCTTCAAACCCCTTCGAAATTACCATCTAAGGGTATGGGTATTTCTCAAATCGAAACCATTAAAAACGTGTATACGCCTTTCCCGTCGACAAAACCAAGATACGATGTTACCACTACTCCCTCAGTATCCTTTGAAAAGTCCAATCTTATTTATCAATCAACTCAAACTATCTCCGGTGGATGGTTGGCTAATAATGGACCCACTTCAACCCTTCCTGATGTAAATCAAGTTACATGGCAAACGCCCGATCATTCGCGAGATCATTACGATACCGATCATCACGTGGCAGCTTCGTCCAATCACGAGGTCGTTATTGGTCAAAATGCAAACATAATAGTGGACGGTGAGAATAACGAGAACGAAGAGGTTGTCGTTGGTGAAAAGAGTACACCTCCTTTCGACATTTTATCCTCGTCTTCTCCAATAATATCTTCCGAAACGATGACCTCGAATTCAACTTATAACTTTGATACGAAAATCGAAGAAAACGATGAAGAATCGTCGGACAAGACTTCCCCTAAAATGCACATTGTCGTGGCCAATTCACCTTCCACCGTTGATCTCGAGGCACAGAATAAAACTCCTGTTGCTGTTATCATGCCAACCAATTATATCAATAAACATAATCAAACGGTCTCGACCGAATCACCCGTAATATCGACGAACGTTTCAGAAAACTTGACTTCGGAAATGGAAAAAATTCAACAATCGTCCAAATCTCAAATTCAAACAAATACGATGACAAGTTCGTTTACTTTCGCATACGATCCGTCTACACCTACGTCGACACCGAATAGAATGATTTCTCATCAGCATCATCAAATTCCTCATCAATCTGTACAATTATCTATGACACCTTCTAGACATATGAATAATCCGACACACATGTTTGGATCGGGTCAATCTATTTCGTCAATGCATTCTCTGACAAGACCTAATAATAATCACGGCATGATGCACTTCATTGGCAGTATGCGTCCGAATGTTGGTTTTCGGCCACCACCGCCTATGACCATGTCGCATATGGCACCGCACATGTCGCATATGCACGCACCAGGGTTGAAGGGTATGGTTGGTCCAACAAGTAGCATCGATCAAACTCATCCACGACCACCGCAAATGCAGTCAGGATTTCCAGGCTCCTCGTACACAAGTCTCCCAGCACCTTCTACGTTAACTCTGCAAACTGTCGAAGGGGAAGATGAAATGGGCAATCGCTATCAATCCAATAGTCCTCATGAAATGACAACAACATCGACATCCTCCGTATTGACGTCCACTGTACCATTTATGGAACTATCTTCCAGTACCAGTACGAAGAATTCTGAAGGGGAGGAACCAAATCAATCATCTTTAGCAATACTTTTTGCCGATGAGGAAAGTTCAAAAAAGAAACCGACGATTAAACCGGAATCTACCACTGCTATACCACCGCAAACAACAACGGTGCCCAGTTTGACAACCGATCCAATATTTTCACATTACAAACAACCGGCCAAACCTATTAAAGGTCCGATGTATCTAATCATTCAAGGCCATTCTAAAGTTAAAACATATAAACCGACGATCAATAAACACGGTGTACCGGTTAATAATGAAATTGTGGATAACGTTACGGAGAGACCTTTGTCGAAATTCGAACAACTGATCATTGAAAATACGAAAAACGGTAAGGTAGATAAGAGCGCGGAGGAGAAGAAAAAATTAGAAGAAAAGATTCGTGCTGAAAAACGTGCATCAACTAGCCAAGATAGTTTGATGAGTCTTGTGGAAAGCGGATTAGGTAGTTTTACAGTACCGCACTCCTCCTCTGTCACAGAGACAGAGCATTTCGGTAATTCTGTGACCACTGTTGAGGTTAATGGTAATTAAATCGTATCTATATAATAGATTTCCTTATATCGATCAGGGAGGACCAACTGATTAACCCCCAACTACAATGATAGAGGAGTGTTTCTTTTTATGTACTGCGAGAGAGGTTCGGTAGGACAGAAAAGAAAAACAAAATTAATTCTGTGGTCTAAATTTCTGGTAGAATGTATTCACATTTACAATTAGTTACAGACAGATAGAAAATGTTGGAAGACGTGAAGTGTAATTGTAATAGTTTAAACAAGATTAGGTATCAGGTTTTAATAGATACTCGAAGCAAAGTCATTACTAGTGTGGATAAAGAAATATTCGCGATATATATATATATATATATATACATATACATATATATATATATAGCTGAGATATATATTATAACCTTTCTCATGATTCCACTTTGAACGATTAAAGCGTGCCAATTAAAAATGTGCCAGTATACATGTGTTACACATCATTACATATAAAGTAATCGATCGTAAGGTAGAACGTGTTTGACTTGTGTTATACGTATTATTCAATTTTTCCGTCATTTTCATTGTATTTCTTCTTCCCCCTCATAGATTTAAATGATCATAAATTTAGTTGATATATATATATA